GCATGCTATCTACACTGTTACACTGCATCTGTCATCTCCACAGTTTCAGCAATTTATCAGTTCAATAAATCACAGTGCTATTTGTCTGTTGTGGATGGAACGGCATTGTATTATTTTATTACTAATATATCTTGCTCAATAATCATGCTTACAAGCTAAGACAGCATCTGTGTTTCTGTAATTATCCGAACTGAACAGTGGTGGTCACTTTAGAACAGTAAAAGTATGAACAGGACAGAACTTCACATGTATGCTGTCCTACTCTCAGCTGGTGAGGAGACTCCGATTTCTTCATAGATCTATCGGTAGTAATGAGCTCTCACTGAGATCTTATTCCTGCCCTGTTTTTACCTGACACTTTGAGACAGAATTACGTACACATATGATCATTTTTACTAACGTGATAAAGCTGCAGATGGACAGATCGTTAGAATAGTATTAACGTTAGCCTACAGGCTAGCTGAACTTACCTTCATAATTGCACAGGTAGGAAGATGCATAAAACTTGAAACCTTTCTCAAGTTTGCTCTGCGGTGTTGTAGTGCACATCCGGACAATCATTTGCACATCGTTGACCATAATTTTTTACTCGCAAACAGCGAGTAAAAAATTGACGACTCTGCCATAATACTGTTTACCTGCGCTCAAAAAGCAGCCGGTATAATATTGACATGAGTTTATTAGCTGTAAATGCTCATGCTGTCTTCTGTGCATGAGTTTTGTTTGATACATTCAGAAAGAGTGCTTTCTTTAAGCAGGTCAAATTAAGAGTACAGTTCATATATCTGACTGCTGTATTAAAGAACAAAATTGTAATAAAAATAACCCTATAACTGTCACACAAAGACAAAAGCAATAGATTTTTTTTAATTGCATTTCTTAACTCATAATGTCGCTATTTAACACAGTCAATGCATTTTTTTTCTCAACACATCCCATAATTTCTAAAATATCAGCCTCTACCAACTGGTTAAGATGTTGGTTTATGGTAAAAGTGCCAGAATTAATAAATATACTACAGAACATATGAAGTGCAAGACCAATTTAATTAAAAACATAATCAAAATTTTAAAAATTAATACTAAACCATAGCCATAAGGTATTTTAGATTTTCTTTTAACATAGTACTATACACGCTTTCCTGTTTATCTTTTCTTTTCTTTTTACAATAAAATCAAAATCAAGTGAATTAGTGCAACAAGATTTATGAGAATGTATGAGAGTGTAAAAGAGTGTATTTTCGTGTTTGTGTGTGTGTGCGCCCATGTATATGTATAACAACATCGGTATTACACAGATGTTAGGAGGAGATGGTGAATTATGTGGACATTATGTATAAAATTCAATCACACTAAATATTTTTATTTATTTTCAGAAAGTAAAACTACACATAATTTCCTGTAAGGGTTGGGTTTAGAGATTGGATTTGGGGTTAGAGCATTCAAAAGTATAGTTTGTAGAGTATAAAAACAATTGTAACCTATGTAATGTCCCCACAATTCACAAAAAATGTGTGTGTGTGTGTGTGTGTGTGTATGTGTGTGTGTGTGAGAGAGAGAGAGAGAGATAGAGAGAGAACTGTGTGTGAGAGTGTATGAATGTGTGAGAGAGTGTACATTTAGGTGTGTGTGTGTATGTGTGTGTAAAAGAGAGAGAAAGAGAGAGAGAGAGAGAGAGAGAGAGAGAGAGAGAGAGAGAGAGAGAGAGAGAGAGAGAGAGAGAGAGAGAGTATGAATGAACATGCTGAATTGTCTTATCAGTGAAGTGATTTTCTGGTAAAAGAGCCTGACGATGTGAGTTCTTGTACCATAGAAATTATTTACAGAGAAAAACAGTATCATAAGCCATGTTTCTTTTTATTCTGCTTAATCAAGTGCCCCAAAGATATTTAAAACAAACAAAACAATATGATGTCTTTTGACTGCCTTCTTTAATAACTACATTACACAATACTTGTACTTTTACTTTCAGTACTTGAGTAGTAAATTTTGAAATAAACTACTTGCAATACTTAAGTACTAAAAACGTTGAATACTTTAGTACTTCCACTTAAGTATGGTGCTTAAAGAGCACTTCTACTTCTACTCAAGTCACTTTTTGATAGAGCACTTGTACTTTTACTTAAGTATGGGTCTCTAGTACTTTATACATCCCTGTCCTGGACCACAGAAACATACCATCACAGGGATTATCAACCAGTCCAGCTCAGAGATTACTTAGCCGTCGAACTAAAACATTACTACCCACAAAAATTAGTCTACTACGCCCAAAAGTTCAAAATGTCTTGGGGGAAATAAAAGCCAACCAGCATCGTCAACAAACTTACTATGACAGATCAGCTAAGGACCTAAGCACTCTGAAACAAGGGGACATTGTGAGAGTCCAACCATTTGAGCCCCATGCGATGTGGAGAAAGGGCACAGTGCTGGAACACGTCGACCCAAGATCCTATAAAGTCCAATTAGATTATGGAGGTGTAATAAGACGAAACAGGAGACACCTCAGGAAGGCTTCTGAGATGACACCAAAGAACAAAACAATGACTGTTCATTGTGAGGGTGCTGAACACGCCAGTGTAGCTGGCAGTTTACCAACGCTTGCCAACAATGCAGAACACCAGATGCAAAATGCAGACAAATCTGTTGCATCACCTGTTGTCACAAAAGCAGGACGTGTTATAACGAACCAAAATACCTAAAGGACTATGTTACATGAAGAAAAAAAAAAGGGAAGAAAAGATGAACAATTGACATTCATAAGCATAAGTTACATGTTAGTGATATGTTATTTCAGTCTGTTTAATTTAAAGCATAAATTATGTGCTAGGGGGGTTTAATGTCTTTATTTCGAAAAAAAAGAGAAAGGATGGTGACAATAGGAACTAATAATATCTGTGTTGTGGGAGAGGCAACCTGTTTGAGTGTTGCACTGTTAATGTTGTGAGTGACAGAGAAGTTTTTGGATTAAACTGAGTTAGACAGTTATCATGGTCTCAGTGAGTCTCTTTACTGGTGAAGGAAGTAACCTTTAAATAACAGTGTTACATTTTAACCTCTTTCACCTCATCCTCATCTAAACAATGAAAACATAATATAAGTCAAATTTGTTTCATTTTGATATTATGATTAACAGACACTAAACAGCCTCGTGTAGCTGCATATTTATATGAGCATCATCTTCACTTTGCATATTTATAACAAAACAGGGCTTAAATATAACTGCCTCCTTTCATTTTCATTGAAAAGTATGATCTTTACCCTGTCTCTTTTGCAGAATATTAGTTTTAATAACCAATAATGGCCATTATAACAGTATAACGTACATTAAATTTAAACGATAAAGGTAAGCAATCAGTCAATGTGCAGAATCAGTGTATGTGGTTACATAAATTAATATATTAGCTTATCTTTGCACTCAGCCAAAACAGTTAACTGAGAACAAGTGATTCAAAAGACATAAGAATTGTTAGATAGAGACAAGATGAATTCAATATCACGTTTAACAACTACAGTGAGATGAGATCATCCAGCAGATGAACTGTCTGACATGCACTATACTCTCACCTGGGGTTTATGCTCACCCGCGCTGAACTACTGGCTGCAGCTCTTGGCAGAGAGTGTGCATGTGTGTGGTCACGTGATTTGCGATTTTAGCCTTGTACTAGAATGAACAGAGAACTTTTCAGAACCGCTAAATGAAACGCCGGTGTAGTTCCCGCGATTTCTCTGCGCCTCCCTTGCATTTCTTCTCTGACTCTCGACTATTTTGACAAATATACACAGATGACGCACGCTCACACGGAGTCCAAAATAGGAGTTTGTGATTGGGCCAGCCCAATGTCAATACCGAAAAGAGCCAATGGGCTGCAGAGTGTCACATGGGCAAGCCCGGTCTGTCTGTCCGGGAAAAAAAGCATCTCACTTTCAAAGTCACAGATCACAGCAGCGTCAAGTAATAAGGCAGAAAAAAACGATAGGCTGCAAAGCCTTTTATGGGCCGATCCGATCATAAGACGATGATCAGCCCGGCACAAAAAGTACGTCGGCCCACCGGGAAAGTGCCCGGTCTGCCAGATGGCCAGTCCGCCCCTGATGTTTAGTACAGTACATGAAGCCCTTCTTCAGTCAACTACAAATAAATTAATATAGAAAGAGACATAGTCAAATCCTCTCAGTTATTTACGCATGTCAAAAAAAAGAGTACTAACTTCTTGTGATAAAGTAGATCTAGAATAAAATGCCAGATGAGCTGCACTCATGACATTTTAAGGGAACAAACAAGCTGACATAAAAATGTAGTGGCACAAATCCTCCTGCAGAGGGCGCAAATGCTCTATTAATTAAATTCAGAATTACCCAGACTAACAGCCAGAAGAGCAGAAAGTCATCCTAGGCAGTTCATGTGGAGAAAACTAAAGAGTCTATAAAAGTGTATAAGACACGAATGACCAAAAGCACCACTCATAATAAACCTTGACACAAGATAGAAATAGTAAATGTGACTCACTAACATGGTCAGATGCTATACAATGAGGTATTTCACTGTGTTCTTGGTCCTTTTCTGGACTTCTACACATCCTTGGACTCTTGCTGTCAAGGGAGGATGAGAGATTAATTAATTTATGTTTTGAAGATGAAGGTCTTAAAGTTGAAATGTTATTAGGGTGAATAGATATTAACAGAATTATCACTTTTAGGTAAACTGAATTTGAAATATGAGTTAAATAGATGGTTACTAAATATTATTAACTTATATTTAAAATTCAGTATAATTATAATTTTTTATTGTTTCATTTTTTTACTTTATTTTAAACATTTGCAAAATTATAAAAAAAGCGGGCAAAAATAATTTGTTTAAAATGTAATTATGTAAACGCATTTTTAATTATATTTTATGAGATCAATATGACATATGAGATCAATTAAAACCTATGGAAATCAATTTAACCATATGGAAAATGTGTATTACACACACTCAACTTAATGATCAACACACGTATATGCTCTCAAACAGATCAAGTTTCACATTTTATTTTAATTAAATGTCCAGCGAAGCACACAATGCAAATGTAACAATGTAAATAACACAACATAGGTACAGCAACTTGCTTGACGTTGGTTAATTACATAAATGAAAATCCTTGATTAGATTGTGATGAATAAAATATTATGATAAATAAAAAAATCAAGTAGAAAGGACCTGTTTTGCTGATATATATTAGTACCGCCCAGCTCCCCATCAGTAATATATAGCATCCCCTCAGTACCTCTGTTTAAAACTCTCTGGTGACGCCCTTGCAAGTGCCCTTTTCTTCCCTATAATGTGCATCTCGACCACTTTAGACTACTCTACTACATAAAACAAATCAAAAACACAGTTAAGTAATTTTTAAAAAGTTAAAAAAAGACAAAACTAAAGCAAAAATATAATCAGGAAAATATTATAATGTGATAAAAACAGAAGTTTTACCTACAATAACTAACATGTCAGTCACATTAATGAGGTAAAAGTGATTTCCTGAGTATCATGTCATTTGTATTTTGTCAGCATTGACCACTAGAACTCAGACAGAAAAACATGAATATTTCAATAGTTTGTGGATCACCAATAAAGGCAGAATAAAAGAAATCATGGACCTTAATCAGAAATGAATGTGCATGTAAATGAGGTCAGAGTTGATGTGTTGGGTTCACGTCACCTGAAAACGGATTACATCCAAAACTGTTGTCATTTGTAAACACAACATGAATGTAGCTCATTCAGGATACACATCCAGTAAACATAACAGCATTTTTACTTTGAATAAAGTATTTAAATAAGCTCTCTTTTACCTGAAGCTGTTTGCTTTGGCTGTCTGAGCTGAAATCTTTAATCTGTTAAATATTTACGCTAAAAACAGTCTAAATCTAAAATTACCTACCAGTTAGAACAAACAGAACACAGAATGAACTACACGAATATGAATATAATAAATTGTATAAAATTTAAATAAATATATTAAACTAAATTCAAACTATACAGAGTATGTCAAACAATATAAAGCAGTATAAAGATACTGTCATTTAATTAAACTCACTTTATAGAACAACCCATTGTTGATCATTACTCAAGCTGATGATAAAAGATGAATGTGGTTTATTATCTGGTGACTAGATTCACCTTTGGGACATAGTTTTTACCTTATTATCAATATGCTTGTTGATATACGTTTCATATATAAGAGTTTATTGACATCACCAGATCTCAAACTGTGGGGCTTTAAAAAGCTCTTTGGATTCAATTCTGTTGTTGAAGAGCCTGAAGAGACACAAAACACAAACTGATATTAGTAACAGGCAAACTGATTTATTCCTCACCTCCCATAAAAAAACATTCTTTTAAATAATTGCATATACAGTTGAAGTCAGAATTATTAGCCCCCTTTGATTTTTTTTCCTTTTTTTAATTATTTCCTGACGTATGTTTAACAGAGCAAAGAAATTTTTACAGTATGTCTAATAATATTTTTCCTTCTGGAGAAAGTCTTATTTGTTTTATTACGGCTAGATTATTAGCCCCTTTAAGCTAATTTTATTTTCAATAATCTACAGAACAAACCATCATTATACAATAAATTGCCTAATTACCCTAACCTGCCTAGTTAACCTCATTAACCTAGTTCAGGTTTTAAGCTGTATAGAAGAGTCTTGAAAAATATCTAGTCAAATATTATTTACTGTCATCATGGCAAAGATAAAATAAATCAGTTATTAGAAATGAGTTATTAAAACTATTATGTTTAAAAATGCGTTGAGAAAAATGTTCTCTCCGTTAAACAGAAAATGTGGGAAAAATAAACAGGGGGGGTAATAATACTGACTTTAACTGTGTGAAACCAACACATTTCACAATATAAATAGACGAATGAATGATTTCCATTCTACTGATTATGAAAATAGAATAAAATTCAAAAGTTTAGATGAATTTATTATTTTAAAAACTTTCAGAAAATGCAGTGATCCATTAAAAATACATTTATTCATAGTGACAGCTTTCATTTGTGAGCAAAAAATTCAAACATTTAATTTTTTGCTCACAAAAGAAAGCTGTCATCATAAATACATTTTTAATGGATCTCTGAAAGCTTAAAGTCCATTATTAAAGATTTCACTACTGAAAGAACAGTTGAAATAACTTTGGTCAATACTATAGTTCATTTCAGACTCTCACCTCACTGTCTTTACGTTACTGTTGTGAGAGACGACACGGTGGATTTTCTGGGCCCCTAAATCAGTGATGTAATTCCCACTAAAGCTGCAGACCAAATAGTTAAATAAATTAGAAACTATTATATCATAGTTTAGAGATTTACAAACTGTATTTCAATCTCACTCGATGTTTTGTGCTTTGTGGAGGTTTGGGAGCAGCAGATCCAGGCTGTGATCGGTGAGATGACACTGACTCAGATCCAGTTCAGTCAGTCCTTCAGAATATTCCAGAATCAGCGCCAAACCTCTACAGGCCTGCAGGTCCAGTGGAGTCTGACTGAGGTCCAGCTCTTTACCCAGAGCTGCAGAAAGAGATTCGGCCTGCCAGCGCCTCACATGAGCCAGAAACTGAAGCAGGAGAGGTTTAGCACAGCTGAAAGACAACAGCAAAATATGATACATTTCTGAATGTTCACACTGGGGCTGAGGCAGTAAATAGATGCATATTGTAAACGCATAGCAATTCTCTCTGGAATCGGTTCTGTGCTTAGTTTTTAACAGGAAATAGTGCTGTAGGCTAGCTTTTAACTATACCCTCAAATGCTCATGAGAAAGTGTTTGGCTAACTCTGTTGGAGAAAAACAGCATATGCTAGCTATAAACATTATAAGCATTGCTGATAGTTAAAGATGGCTTAATACATGCTTCAACAAATAACTACCCGCCTTTAAATTTTCTATATCATAAGAATTTGTATAAGTTAAACACGTTTTTCCACAAAAACAAACTTTTCTTGTGAGATTTGTCGCCCTTTTTCTAACTTTATTATTAATTATTTTTGTTCGAGTGGTATGTGTAATGAATTGGAGTACTGCTGTTTGTAAAGCATAAAGTCCATCTGTTGATAAAATATAAGCTCAAAACAAACACAAGAATATCGCAAAGAATCTGTTGCTGTTTTTCACCAGAGTTTCACTGAATGCAGCACTGTAAACAGCTGGTCCATTCCTGCAGTGTTAATCTCACAGTCCTTCAGAATCAGCTGTGTTTTTCTGTCTGTGTTTGCTCTCTGAATGACTCTGGATATCACACGGCAGTCATCAGCTGTGAGTTGTAGAGGCTCAGAGTCTGTGTTTGTGGTCAGATCCAGTGCAGAGCAGCAGGAGAAGTCCAGCTTGTGCTGCAAAGCGGAGAGCAGAAACACTGACCCCTGCTGGACATCAGAGACACTGTAGCAGTGAAGCATCTTCAGTAACAGCAGCCTGTCCACACTGAACACACACAAAAACTTAATCAGAACACATTCAGGTCAACCGTACCAGCTCTGATTGAAAGTAGCTTACAGAGCTTTTTTATTATATCTAAGTGTGTTTGGATTAATCATATTAATTTCAGCAGTTCAATTGGAATATTATCAAACTAAGAGAATACTTTTTTGCACACATAATACAAAAACAGCAACTTTATTCAATAGTTTCTTCTTTTCAGTGTCAGTATATTGTGTGCATTTATAAGCACTATTCAGTGACGTAAAACACTCCAGACTTATCATCCAAGGTAATACGACACTGAGTAGAAGAAACTGTTGAATAAAGTCATTATTTTTGTTTCATATGCACACAAAAGTATTCTGGTAGCTTGATAATATCCTGATTGACCAACTGAAGGTATATGCTCTGTTTTGAGGATGTTTTTTCATATCTTTCTGGACTTTAAATGAGTGAGAACATTCATGTCTATGGCTGATGAGGAAGTTTTCAGATTTAGTCTTAAGCATCTTAATTTGTGTTGCAAAAATCAACATAGGTCTCTGGGGTTTGGAACAACACAAGGGTGTGTAATAAATAACAGAATTTTAATTTTAGATGAGCTAACTTTTTAATGTAGTTCTAGCTTGTATGTGAAAATGAATTTACTCATCTCTCATGCACAAAACCAGGTAAAGTATTACATTGAAAAAAATAACTGATATGCAAACTCAGAAGTTTGTTGAACTTTCTTTTCATGCATCCTAGTTATCATGCAGGCAGGCATTAGCAAGACCTGAGATGTGAGATGTGTTTGAGGAGAGGCAGAAACGTCTCCAGCTCTTCCTCTGGTATGAAGGTCCACATCAGGTTGAGTGAAGCTGCAGTGCAGTGCTGGAGTGTGAAGCGCAGCGCAGCACAATCAACAGAGTCCAGATCTCTGCTCTGCAGATTAATGCAGTTCCCCACTGAACTCAACAGACTGAACACAAATCCAGCAGAGCGGCTCTCATAGATCTCTCTGATTACAGACAGCATGAAGGAAGAGCTCATCCTGTACAGACACACATCACATTCATCCTTATTAGCCACAGTAAATACATTTCTCATTCATTTTTATAATTTATTTGAGGTTATATGAGTAACAAATGAATGTTGTAGGAAAAAAGTTGTAAGAGTCTCTTCCCTAATGTAAACTATCCAAGTGAAATGGCTTCAAATAACAAACGCTTGTCGGTTGGCAAATTATTGGATGGTTGTAGATTGTGGTTCTTGTTTCAGAAAAACTTTAAACCCACCATCACACCAGTAAATACAGTAGCTATGGAAAGTTTTCAGACCACCTTAAATTTTTTACTCTTTGTTAGAGTGCAGCCATTTGCTAAAATCATTTAAATTCCCTTTTTCCTCAATACATGTGCACACAGCACCCCATATTGACAGAAATACATTTTTGAAGATTCATTAAAAAAGAAAAACTGAAATATCACATGGTGCTAATTATTCAGAGCTTTTGCTGTGACGCTCATAATTTTTTTTAACTCAGATGCTGTCCATTTCCTTTGATCGTCCTCGAGATGGTTCTACACCTTCATTTGAGTCCAGCTGTGTTTAATTATACTGATTAGATTTAATTAGGAAAGCCACACACTTGTCTATATAAGACCTTACAACTCACAATGCATGTCATTGCAAATGAGAATTATGAGGTCAAATGAACTGCCTGAAGAGTTCAGAGACAGAATTGTGGAAATGCAGATATGGCCATGGCTACAAAAAATGTCTGATGCACTTAAGATTCATAAGAGCTCAGTGGCCTCCATAATCCTTAAATGGAAGATGATTGGGATGACCAGAACTCTTCTTAGAGCTGGCTGCCAAACTGAGCTATCAGGGGAGAAGATCCTTAGTGAGAGAGACGAAAAAGAATTCAAAGATCACTGTGACTTAGCTCCAGAGATGCAGTTGGGAGATGGTAGAAAGTTGTAGAAAGTTAACCATGACTGCAGCCCTCCACCAGTGAGGGCTTTATGGCAGTGTGGCCTGACACATGAATGCTCGCATAGTTTATTAAAAAACACCTGAAGGACTCCAAAATGTTGAAATAAGATTCTCTGGTCTGGTGAGACCAAGATAGAACATTTTGGCCTTAATTCTAAGTGGTATGTGTGGAGAAAACCAGGCACTGCTCATCACCTGTCCAATACAGTCCCTACAGTGACACATGGTGGTGGCAGCATCATGCTGTGGGACTGTTTTTCAGCTGCAGGGAAAGGACGACAAAGGTTGCAATAGAGGGAAAATGAACATGGCTAAGTACAGAGATATCCTGGATGAAAGAGTGCTCAGGACCTCAGACTGGGCCAAAGATTTACCTTCCAGCAACACAATGACCCTAAGCACACAGCTAAAATAATGAACAAGTGGCTTCACTACAACTCAGTTAATGTTCTTAAATGGCCCAGTCAGCGCCCTGACTTAAAAAAAGTGTTTTTCTGTCAATATAGGGTGCTGTTTGCACAATGAGGAAAAACATGAATTTACATAATTTTAGCAAATGGCTGAAATATAACAAAGAGTGAAACATTTAAGAGGATCTGAATACTTTCCGTAACCACTGTATGTTAAAAAAAGTTTTGGTGTTGTAGTTATCGAGTACTGAAAGGACACATTATTTGAAATAAATAACATGATTATTTATTGAATAATATGATGATTAATAATAATAAATTATTATCAAAATTTACATTTTATGAAATGTCTTTAGCAATCTTGTCAATCAACTCAAACCTATGTTTAAAGAGTTTTTACATGCAGCTCTTAAAAAACAACTTATTAATCGTGTGCTTTACCCTTTTAATTTAATCCTGTTTAGAAGTGGCAGAATTTCTCTCATTTTGCACTGAATGTTGCTCTTCCTGAGGTCCACAGTGATTTTTTTAATTCTGTGCTGCAAAAAATAACGAAGCTCTTCCCAGGTCAAGGAGCAGGAAGTCAGATCTCCATTTAATCTCTGCAGGAAGTGTTGAGTTGATTTTTCATTTTGAAATTCAAAGATGTGCTCAAGCAGCTTCTGAAGAGCCCTTTCGGATGGTCTACACACATTAAGAACCCAAAACTTGGTCAAGTTACATTAACAACAGCAAGTTGTTCTGTAGCTGTTCTGTACAGTAGATTGTCTTACCTGAGCTGTGAGATGAAGGGCAGACACTGGAGGAAACTCCTCACTTCACTCTCTTCCTCTGAAAATCCTCTCAGCTCTACTGGTTTCTTCTTTGTTTGGAGTTTCAGCACTTCCAGGAGGACAGAGGTCTTTTTGTCTGAGAGATCTATGATCCAGACATCAGGAGACTGGAAAACTGACTGTAATGCTGGGAGGAAACTCCTGCTAGTTTGAGTCTCATAATTCTTCACATGTGAGTAAAGATCCAGCAGGAAATCACTCTGTTTAATTCTGTCAGTTTTTTCATAAGGAAAAGAGCTGTATGTGCAGACTGAGGATAACAGTTTCAACATCTGCTCTCCTGTCTGTGTCTCAGTCTCTGCTGCATTAATGAAGAGTCTCAGAAGAAATTTGCTTTGAACACTTTTACTCGGTTTAGAGAATCTGTAACAATATGGAAATGAGAAATATAAATAAATACCAATCTACATGATTGAAGTAATGCTCTCGCTTCCTGCTGGATATGAAATGTAGAAAATTATTTGAGAACTCAACTGATAACTGTACAATCAATAAAATAAGATGCAACACACTAGCACTGAATGAAAATGTCAAAAGTTCAGGTTTATCTATAGTTCTCACACATCTGGCCCCATTCAATAAATTCAGGATGAAAATGCAACTGGCTCTAAATGTAAGTAAATAAATAAATATTTTATTTTTACACACAAATTTACAACCAACTGACCTAATCCAAACTTAACGTGTTAAAAAAAAAAAAAATAAAAGCCTTTATTTACAACGTTAAAACAAATGTGAGCAACCCTAATGCCCAGCATTAACATTTTACAACATTTTAAATGTTACACATTTTCTTTAAATAATTAAATAATAATATAACAATAATAATATACATAAATATCCAAAGTAGTGAGTTTTTTTTTTGTCTGTTATTGTGTGTGTGTGTGTGTGTTGCTTGTGGCTCTTTTCTCTCCGCCCCTGTCTCGTATCGGTTTCATCATTACCTCACAGGTGCGGGGTATCAGGTGCCAGCACTTGGAGGCCGGCTTGTTGGTAAAGACTATTTAAACCGGACTGCAACGTCATTCAGAGAGTCTCCTCTCTCCTGGCTTGTGCTGTTTGTGTTGTGTAGTAGAAACTGTGTTGTATTTACTCGGCTAAATTGTTGAAAGTGAATGCTGAGTGTTGACTGAGATATATGCCGAGACACGTGTGCTGAGAAGGGTGCCTTTTTGTTTTATTACATTTTTCTCATGTTATGTGGTTAGTAGGGAGGTAAGTGAATGTTATTTTATTCGTATCATTTCATGTACAGGTAAGAGGGTAAAAAACTTTAGTTAGATGTTGAGTTTTGTTTTTTAATATGCCATTTACCTCTGTAAGCTTTTAATTGTCTCCTTTTTGAAATTTAAACGTTAAATAAATTTGACTTTACGTTATTTCCTTGGTCATTCGTCTTTGTTGTTGTTTTTACTTTTAAATGGGAGATGAGACTGTGGGCTCCTCAGAGTTGTACTTATTTTAATTTAATATGATTTATTGTTACGGGTCTGGCTTATGGAGCCAAGCAAGATTAGAATTCGTAACATTACCCAAAATAAGTAAATTTTATATTTATAAAAAAAAATATTTATTATTATTTAGGAGTTTTCACCATTTTAACTGACAGGAAAGTGTAGAGAATCAATCAATCAAGCCTTTATTTGTCACTACACTTTCGTATAGCGAAATTGGACCCCCCAGACCATACACAAAACATCACAAACAACTTTTCAGGGGAGACAGATCTTAGGAGGTAGCATTTAGAAACGAAGAAAGATACATTTGGACAGTTAGGCTAAAAAACACCCCCTCAGCTTGCCCTTGATTAGGACAAAGTGAGAAAAGGGAGAAAGCCCTATCTTAGCATAAGCACACCGGCAAGACACAACATAGACAGAGGGGATGGGAACAGGGGTAATGGAAAACAGTCCATTGAGTGCGGGCAGCCAACTGGTCCAGCAGCCATTTCCGGCGCAAGTCACAGCCCCGCCCACGCTCCACGTGGGTAAAAGCACACGAAGGCGTTTGGATGGGGATCGGTGGTGAATGTTTATCTGTAGATATGTTTGTGTGTGTGTGTGTGAGCCTGCATAGTCCAGAGTCCCGCAGGTGTCCTTGACAGGGGCAGGAATTTCAGAGCGTCCGCTTATCTTGCTTATCCCAGGGAGTTGTTTACTTCCAGCCAAGGCCGTCTGGCAGGAGTAAGAGGAGAGCCGAAAAAAAGACAGTAAGATACTTCAACTTTAGGTCAATATCTGCCAATTTCACAGATATTTAATGTCCATCACTCGTCTCCCAATCTGGCCAAAATTTGTTGCAGAGCCGCTAGCTTCACCTCGATGGTTTCCAGTTTGCGGTCAAGGACCATAGTCTGATTCGCGACCCTACCCATCAGTGTTTCAATCAAGCCGGCCAGCCTAGTGGGGTTTTGAGCTGCGCTGACCGCTTTTATCAGTTTCCGATATCCCAGGGCCCCGCATAAGCCCATCAGCAGAAACCCTGTTATCAAAGTTCCGAATAGGTAGATATCTTCAATATCCTCCAGAGACAGAGCAGCTAGACAGAGGACTCTCCACTTCTCCCACCCGTCCATCACGTATCCAGCTGCGAGCGTCCCCGCAGGACAGCTGGGTTCCCCGGAGCCCAGCGATCTCGTTGAGAAGATGGTGTCAATTGCATTCAGAGACCAGTTGATCAAATCCATAATTCCTTTTTCGTTTGGAAAGCAGGACAAGGAGAGCCTCAGAGATAGAATAAGACGAGACAAGACGTGCTAGCTAGGAGAGATATGGGACGGAGCGGGAAGAAGAGCGACCGCCTTCGCTGAGAGCCAAAGAAGATGGACAGGAAACAATAGTAGCAAAGTGAAAGGGAAATGATTGGTAAAAGACCTCAAGCTGGGAATTGAACTCGGGTCACCATAAACACCTCAGTGCTATGTGTCGATGCACTAACCACTAGGCTATGTCTCTCCACCTCACAGGACAATGGCGCCAGTGCACTCACCACACACCAGCTATAGGTGGAGGGAAGACACAGTGATATAGGCAATTTGGTGGATGGGGATGATTGGGAGGCCATGATGGGTAAGGGCCAATGGAGGGAATTGGCCCGGACGCCAGGGTTACACTCCCACTTTTTATGAGAAGTGCCATGTGATTTTTAATGACCACAGAAAGTTAGAACTTTGGTTTCACGTCTTATCCGATAAGACCCACTGACAGTAATATGTCAGTATTGTGTCCCCTTCATTTTACTGGAGCATTAAGACTCACACAGACCACAGGTTGAGCGCCCCCTGCTGGCCTCACTAACACCACTTCCAACATTAACCTTGTTTTTACCCGTGTGGTCTCCCATCCAGGTACTGACCAGGCTCAGCCCTGCTTAATGATGTTGCAGTAGATTGTCTTACCTGAGCTGTGAGATGAAGGGCAGACACTGGAGCAATCTCCTCACTTTACTCTTTTTCTCTGAACATCTTCTCAGCTCTAGTGGTTTCTTATTTGCTTGCAGATTCAGCACTTCCATGAGGACAGAGGTCTTTCTCTTTGAGAGATCTATGATCCAGACATCAGGGAACTGGAAAACTGACTGTAATGCTGGAAGGAGACTCCTGCTAGTTTGAGTCTCATAGTTCTTTACATGTGAGTAAAGATCCAGCAGGAAATCAGTCTGTTTAGTTATGTCAGTCTTTTCATAAGGAAATGATGTGTATATGCAGACTGAGGATAACAGTTTCGGCATCTGCTCTCCAGACTGTGTCTCAAACTCTGCTGCTTTGATAAAGAGACTCACAAGAAATCTGCTTCGATCATTTTCACTCTGATTAGAGAATCTGTAACATGAAAATGAGAAAATGAATAAATACAAATATTAGAAAACTTAAAGATATGACACAATTGATTTTTTTTGCTTCTTGTTAGGTTTGAAATTACAAAAAAAATTAATTTATGACCCAATACTGATAACTGTACGAACATTTAATATAGAAATAAGACACAACATAGACTATCATTGCCTGAAAATATAATTCTTAAAGGAACAAGTTTATCTATAGTTTTGACACACATCAGGCCCCATTCAATAAACAATAATAATAATTCCTTACATGTATATAGCGCTTTTCTAGACACTCAAAGTGATTTGCACATTGGGGGTATCTCCTTATCTACAACTAGTGTGCAGCATCCACCTAGATGACAAGACGGCAGCTATATTGCGCCAGACCGCACACCACACACCAGTTGATTGGTGGAGAGGAGACAGAGTGATGAAGCCAATTATGAAATGGGTACGTTAAAAGGCAATGATGTACAGAGGCCAGTGGGCAGAAATAGGCCTACTCTATTTCAAAGGACATCCTTGGGTTTTTAACGACCACAAGGAGTCGGGACCTTAACGCCTCATTCAAAAGACGGAACTATGAATAAATCTGCAATAACAACACACATATTTATAAGGCTCTAATTGTAAGTAAAATAATAATAATAACAATTAAATAGTTACTTTTTGCACACAAATTGCCCATCAACTGACCTTGATCCCAACTGAATGTGTTTGGCATTTTAAAACATGCAATTCGTCACTTACTACTTTTAAAAAATTGGGGGCAATTTTGAAGCCCTAAATGCCCAGCATTAACATTTTGCAACATCTTAAACAAGCTAAATTTATAAGATTTTATATTATACCATTATCCACCTAATACATAAGTATATATTTTAATATGTCATAAATATAAATGCTTGGGCCCCGGGAGATTAAATTAACAAAGTAGCTGTAGATTCTCTTACATGAGCTGTGAGATGAAGCGCAGACACTGGAGGAAACTCCTCACTTCACTCTCTTCCTCTGAAAATCCTCTCAGCTCTACTGGTTTCTTCTCTCTTTGGAGTTTCAGCACTTCCAGAAGGATGGAGGACTTTCTCTGTGAGAGATCTATGATCCAGACATCAGGAATCTGGAAAACTGACTGTAATGCTGGAAGGAAACTCCTCCCTGTTTGAGTCTCATAGTTCTTCACATATGAGCAAAGATCCAGCAGGAAATTAGTCTGATTACAATCATTGCACTCTTCATTAAAAGGGAAGTTTTTATAACTGCACACAGATAACAGCAGATTTAAGAAACTTGTTCCTGTATCTGTGTCATTGTGTACTGCTGCAGAAATGAGATTCATCAGGAATCTTTTTTCTTTATCACCTGTGTGCCAAAACCTGACAAAAAAAATAAAATAAACTGCTCAATTTGTGGCAACTCAGCATGCATAAAACTAACATCCACACAAATAAACTTTTAGTGCACTGGAATTTTGCAAAGAAGACAGACATTAAAATGGCTATAGCCCTCATCAGTGCCCTGACTACTCAACAAGGGTGCTGATTGCATGGTTAAACCTTTACATGGTTCCTTTGTTACTTCCATCTGGCAGATGGTATTACGTCCCTTTGGCAAAAAAGGCAAAGTACAAGAAGACATTTCACGAGTTCACACTTGCATTCGTTTAAGTATAAAGCATATTTGGCATGCTGTCCAGGGGAGGGCTCTGAGCTCGAGGAGTCACCCCAACTCGAGTTATTCCCCTTATCAGGAAACAAAGAGTAGTTGGAATTCAAGCAAACTATCTAGCCTGGCCCCAGAACGCTCCCCCCGGGGATTTAATGCAAGAGGTGAGGTGACGGGGTGGTGAAGAGGTGCTAAAGTTGTGAGATGCTGCAGGTAAGACAGCTTTGGTATATATAGGGGTTTGTTCAAGAACTGATTTGATAATGGGATGATTGTCAATGACGTATTCGATACTGAAACTTCTGCGCATGCTCCTCCCGAAATTTGTTTACAAAACATCACTTCACGAGTTCACACTTGCATTCGTTTAAGTATAAAGCATATTTGGCGTGCTGTCCGGGGGGAGGGCTCTGAGCTCGAGGAGACACTCGAGTTATTCCCCTTATCAGGAAACAAAGAGGATTTTTTATTCGAGTAAAGTATCTAGCCCGGCCCCAGAACGCTCCCCAAAAAATGCTATTTGGTTACAGGACAGCAGCCAGACGAGTGTGCAAAAATTTGCTGCTCTTAAAGATTTGGAGGGGTGCTGTTGAGTTGTAAGGTATGTGTTTCGGGAGGAAGCGGTTGCTGTGTTGATAGTGGTGCATGTTAAGGTGTACGTCTCCGTTTGGGAGCTGTCACTGCACTTGCAGTGGTGCATGATTATGGGGTGTACGTCTCCCGTAGGAGCGGTCACAGCACTTGCAGTGGTGCATAATTATGGGGTGTACGTCTCCCATAGGAGCGGTCACTGTTCTTGCAGTGGTGCAGGATAATGGGGTGTTTGTCTCCTGTAGGAGCTGTCACTGCGCTTGCAGTGGTGCATAATTGTAAGGTGTACGTCTCCCGTAGAAGTGGTCACTGCACTAGCAGAGGTGCATAAAAAGTGTGTGTCTCCAGTCTGAGTGGTCACTGCTCTTGCAATGGTGCATGATAGTGGAGTGTATGTCTCCCGTGGGAGCTGTCACTGCGCTTGCAATAGTGCATAATTATAAGGTGTACGTCTCCCGCAGGAGCTGTCACTGCGCTTGCAGTGATGCATAATTATAAGGTGTACGTCTCCCGTAGGAGCGGTCACTGTGCTTGCAGTGGTGTAAAATTATGAGGTGTACGTCTCCCAAAGGAGCAGTCACTGAGCTTTCAGTGGTGCATAATTGTGAGGTGTACGTCTCCCGTAGGAGCAGTCACTGCACTAGCAGTGGTGCATAAAAAGAGTGTCTCCTGTCGAAAAGGTCACTGCTCTTGCAATGGTGCATGATAGTGAGGTGTACGTGCCCCATGGGAGCTGTCACTGCGCTTGCAGTGGTGCATAATTATGGGGTGTACGTCTCCTGTAGAAGCGGTCACTGTTCTTGCAGTGGTGTAGGATAATGGGCTGTATGTCTCCTGTAGGAGCTGTCACTGCGCTTGCAGTGGTGCATAATTGTAAGGTGTACGTCTCCCGTAGGAGTGGTCACTGCACTAGCAGTGGTGCATAAAAAGTGTGTGTCTCCAGTCTGAGTGGTCACTGCTCTTGCAATGGTGCATGATAGTGGAGTGTATGTCTCCCATGGGAGCTGTCACTGCACTTGCAGTAGTGCATAATTATAAGGTTTACGTCTCCCGTAGGAGCTGTCACTGCGCTTGCAGTGATGCATAATTATAAGGTGTACGTCTCCCGTAAGAGCGGTCACTGTGCTTGCAGTGGTGTAAAATTATAAGGTGTACGTCTCCCAAAGGAGCAGTCACTGAGCTTTCAGTGGTGCATAATTGTGAGGTGTACGTCTCCCGTAGGAGCAGTCACTGCACTAGCAGTGGTGCATAAAAAGTGTGTCTCCTGTCGAAAAGGTCACTGCTCTTGCAATGGTGCATGATAGTGAGGTGTACGTCTCCCGTGGGAGCTGTCACTGCGCTTGCAGTGGTGCGTGATTATAAGGTGTACGTCTCCCGTAGGAGCGGTCACTGGACTAGCAGTGGTGCATAATAATAATGTGTGTGTCTCCTGTATGATTGGTCACTGCGCTTGCGGTGGTGTGTAATAAAGTGTGCATCTCTCTTAGGGGCAGTCGTTGCATTAGCTGTGATGCTTAATATTAATAATAAGGTGTGTGTAATAAGTTGCGCGACTCCAGTTAGAGCGAACGCTGTACTAGCATTATCAAGGTAGTATGCAAAGGGTGTTTGAAGAAAGTGCCTTGTGAATTGTCAATGACGAAATGTGTTGTGAGATGTGATGTGATGGGCTCTATTGGGTGTTGAATTATCTTAGAGGGATTTTTTGATAAGAGTTTGTTGGGCTCTTCTAATGTGAGAGTGGTCAGATTGAATGTAGCACTTAAAGGCCTGGGTCCGAGTGTTTGGATCTGTTGCTTTGATAGACCATTTTGTGCTGCGGTGGTAGCTGCGCCTATTCTTAAAGAATGGCTGAAGAAATTGTCGGCTGGGAAGCCGGACTTAATTAGGATACATTTAAGATGCTTTTGAAACCAAAAACGAGTGACTGGGCGATTGCTATCGTCTGTGAAGAGAGGGTCTGCTAAAGAAGAGGCTTGTGATTTCCAGATTTGTGAAAATGCTAGCAGTGTTTGGTATGGACGAATAGGTGATTGAAGATTGAAAATGTAGATGTAATGGCCTCTTTTAGCTTGATCAGTTTTGCTTTGCTTAATGAAAAGGAAAAAGGAAAAAGGTTGTTTAATGTTACTAGATCGGATACAGTGGGATGAATGTTTGGGTTGAACCCAGATGTAACGGTGAGTTCTGAACACCTTAAAAACCCGAAGAAAGCTAAAATAAACATAGCATCGAGTGTACGTGCTGTGTGGATTGATTCGTATCCTTTGCGAAGAGTGGATATGCATTTAGTGAGTGTTTTCAGCATTATAGGTTGTCGTGTGTCTTGACGTGTGGGCTGGGTTCTTTGTATGCCTTTCAATAAAAGAGCAGTTTGAGAATTAGCGAGAATTGAGAATTGAGAATTAAGTGAGGTGCGGGGGAAATGTAAATTAGTTTGTGGAAAAATTGAATTCCACTCAAATAGCCTTTGATGGAATTGATCTGGAGTTTTCTGATAATGGTCAGGTAGGATATGTAAGATGAGATGGTAAGTAGGGAAAAATCAGGAAACAGTATATTATAACATGCGTGGAAGGTTTAAAACTTTTTCATGCTGTTAGATATGACTGCAGGGTTCTAGGCACCACTGCCTGAAGGATATATTCGAGGGAGGCTCCAAGCAGGTTTTTTAAAGGACGATCTATGGGAATATCAGCTCTAAATAAGGAGGGACTTGGACTGGAAACTGATCCGCCTCTGGTGCCAAATGTCTGAATTTCTGGAAAGCAAAACGAGAGTGAGAATCAGCAATTTGGTTTTTGGACCCAGGAATGTGCTTTGCTGTTAAAATAAATTGGTCACATGCTGAGATCCAAGTAACGCGTCTAAGTAGGGGAATTAATGCTTGAATTTGAACAGCCTTTATTTATGCAGTGAACGGTTGCTTCATTGTTACAGTGAATTATAATGCAGGAACCAGACCATTCTATTCCCCATAGGGATGCAGCGACGACTAGTGGATAAAGTTCGAATAGCGCTGATGATTTAAGTGGTTGCGGCTAGTCTAACAGCTGGGGCGGCCAAGTGGACGCGAACCAGCGTCCTTGGTAATAACCTCTGAATCCGATTGACGGGGCAGCATCGGTGAATAAATTGATGTCTGCTGAGGAGGATATTAGGTCCCTGTAAAAGAAGGAAAGACTGTTCCATTGTTTGAGGAATAATATCCATAAATGGAGTTCATTTAGGCTACTGTCATCGATGGATATTTGATCCTCTAGACTGTGAGCTGAGGACGCGAGAACTAAGAGATGAGAAATGAACGATCGGCCTTGGCGAATTATGCGCATTGCGAAATTCAAGTGGCCGAGAATTGATTATAGCTCGCACTTAGAACAGTTGGGGCTGTCTAATAAGGAGGAAGCTACCAGGATCGTTCGATCAATTTTCTCTTTTGGTAGGAACGCTTGGAATTTGTTGGAGTCTAATTTAATGCCCAAGAATTCGGTTGAAGTGCTTGGACCGGCGTTTTTTTTTTTCTGCTATGGGAATCCCGAGTTCGGCGAAAACCTTTTGAACTGTCAAGAGGTGCGCGGCTGGGATAGCGTTGGGTGGTGAGATGATTAGAAAATCATCTAGTAGATGGATTAGGTGTGGGATCTCATAGTTATTGGAAAGGATCCAGCATATTGCTTCCGATAGCGTGTCTAAAATTTTTGGGCTACTTCTGCAACCAAAGGTTAGGCGGACGGAAAAATTATATTTTTTTCGCCAGAGAATTCCGAAAAGGTGCCAGAAATCAGGATGAATGGGCATGATTTTAAAGGCGGATGTCATGTCGACTTTAGCCATTCAAGCGCCGCGACCCGCTATTTTGATTAGTGAAATAGCTTGGTCGATTTCATAATAATTCATAGAGAACTCTTCAGGAGGGATGAGACTGTTGATACCAGGAAACGTTCGAGGTTACAGAAGTAACCCTTCGTTCGGAAGTGCTATAAGTGGATTTGATGTTAAAATCCACGTATGGTAGGTTTCGGTTTAGAAGCCGCTTGTCTGAAAGAGTATTGAACGGGCCAATGAAAACAATGAATTGGCAGCGTAAGTTTGCGCAGGTGTGCTTCATTGACAATTATGC